TGTTTCAGTGTTGTTTTTTTTCCTGGAAGAAATATGCACAATGTTAAGTTGTTTTCAAGTCCTTCATTATCAAATACAGCATTCACTGTCAGTTGGTGCTTGTTAATTAACTGGTTTGTATATCTGGTGTAGAGCATCCCATATTTCTACCCAGATCATAAAATTAAATGGAGTAAATGCATTTAATTACAATGGAGAATTTTAACAAATATTTCAACAAACTTAACCAGAGGAAAATAGAATGACAGTAGATCGGGAATCATAATTGTCCCCATTTTTATTTAATAAACTTAAGAACTCTTATATTATTAAAATTTTAACTACTATACTATAAAAATATTGATATATGAATTAGCTTGTTATTAATTCAGGCTTTGTAAAATTATACAATTACTGATCTAACAGTGAGAAGTATGATCATTTTGTGCAATGACCTGGGATTCACTAGTTTTAATAAATTATAAATATGATATAAAGATGCAGTTTATATGTAAAACTAAAACAGTCTTACATGTTAATTAACTTATATAATGTAAAGAGCAAAATATAATACAAAATAATAAATTTACAGTAATATAACTGTCATATATAACCAATAAGTACAGAACAAATATTTTAGAGTATTTTCAGTCATCACTGTGTTAGGGTTTCACTTGTCTACATACTTTTCATCTTGTATGTTGTCCAGTGTGCTGTCCAACTATATGCCTCCATTCTATATTTAGCAGTACGAAAGTATCCTGGCTGAAACATGGCGAGGATTTTTGCATTTTTTTTTTCTTTAATCTAATGTGAATCAACTAGTTTAAGTGTCAGCTAAGAAGTTTATAGATCCAAGATTTAAAAAGATTCTAATAGAAAAGATTTCAAGGCTAATAAAAGCTATAGCTTTGGTATGTGAAAATTTCACTGTTTTCTCTGTGTTTTTTATGATAGGAGACAAAAGCAAATAAGACATTTAGAACAACTTATTAACCCTTTCACAACAAAAACCCCTTTAAATGCCTTTAATCCCTTTGGTTGAAAAGAAACCTTTGAAAAGATACTTAAACTTCAGTTTTGTTTTCACAGGAACCACGAGCTATGAAAAATCTCAACTCTTGCATTCTCTGTTTCAAATAAGATAACACCAGTCTGATAGATGCATGTCTAGACAATAAGTACATTTACATGCCCTACTGACACATGTATTCCAAAGTTTTTTGGCTGAGTTCTGTTGAAACTAGATAAATTTTTCCAACCCCTGACAGATGTCACACCCACCTTCTATACTATTCCTTGAGCTTTACAAGTCACATGTAGTTACTTCACACAAGTGTATATGGTCATTAGAAAGAACTCATTTTACACTACAATCCCACAATATTTATTTTGAAACTGGCATTCAGTTGTAGTCATTGGGTAGATATAACTGCTGGTAATACTGATGACTGCATTGTCCACAACAGCACAGTTGTTTCTTACCTAAATATGTTATAGTTAGAGAGACAGTTAACTTGCATTTAGGTTTTACTTTTATATATTGGTTAATTATGTATTATTTATGTTTTAATATGCATAATTGAAAGGTTTAACTTTTTTTACGCTTTTCTCATATATTACCCCAATTCTAAAGGCTTACAATCATGCACAAGTGTAAGATACTTTTGCCGAAGGCTTCAGCATCTCTCCCAAAAATATTGCAACATGCTCTAAGGGCATCACTAATTTGTGTCAAGATGAATAATAAATGGTAAAGGACAGGAAAGGAAAATAAAACATTAAAAATTAAGTATATGTGAAAATTAAAATACCTGAAATCACAAATATCACCAAAAAAAGATTCTTTAAGATATTCCACGAAAATTTAAAAGGTATGTACATTTTTTACTTCTTAATTGCACTGTATGTTGCTGATAATATCTACAGTTAGTGATATGGTAGAGAAAATGAAAAATAAAATATAAACATCCTCCTTAAAAAATCTTTTGATATTCATTTAGGAGGTTCTAGAGGTTATGCAAATACAACTCAAAAACTGTAGGATGAATAAAAGTATTTTTATATTTCATATGAAAATCACCTTGCTTGTTTGTTTGTTTGAATTTATACACAAAGCTACACAATGAGCTATCTGTGCTCTGCCCACCACAAAACCCGGTTTCTTGCATTGTAAGTCCGCAGACATACCGCTGTGCCACTGGGGTGCAAATCACCTTGCACTCAAACTATTCAGAGTCTGAGTGCAAACAACTACTAACAAAATTTTATCAGTTTGTTTGAGGATACATTACGAAATCTCAGAGTTACCTAATGTATTGTTGCCCACGTATCATTACCCAGTCGGGTTCCTATAAATTGCAGGAGACTGATGCGAAAGGGTGAAATTGTATGTAGTAACAGCTAACAAAAATTCATCCAACTACTCTTTAGTATTCTATAACTCTTTATATTATGAAATTACCAAGATTTTGTTGTGAGACACTTTTTTTGAAAAACAATTCATTTCATTTTAGAATTTACTTTTCTTTTTTTTTGTACATCAAAAAATTGAATTTAAAATATTAACAAGTTTCAACTTGATATAAATAAATATATATATATTGATACTGTACTTTGCTGATTGC